GGTGGCCACCTGTGGAGCTGTGCTCGTGGTAGCTGAGGCTGGGATTCTCAGCCTCTGGCCTCCCTCTCTTCCTCTGCCTCCTTACGTGGTCTCCCCAGGTGACTTTTCTAGTTTGGTAACCAGATTTGCTTTTTCAGTGCTGAGATGGAACCCAGGGCCTGACATATGGTAGACAAGCGCTTTATCACTGGATGACAACCCCAGCCCTTGAGTAGCAAGATTGTTGCTGTGGCTGCTCAAGGCTTCCACAAATTCCAAAGCAGAATCTGCCCAGTTATCTCAAGACTTAGCCTGGAACTAGTGCAGGGTCATTTTTGCCACATCCTGTGATGAGAATAAGTGGTATCACTGAAGGGGAAGGAACAGCATGAACCATGAATCTAGGAGGCAGCACTCACTAAGGCACCAAATTAACTGCTATAATAATGTACATGGAAAACACTGACACAATGCATGAAAATTAAAATCATTCAAATTTTAGATTTTGAGAATATGGGCACTTTGTATTTTTCTATTTTCACATTTGAAAAAAAACAAACATGAAATAAAGGAGAGGCTGAGACAAGGCATCTGGTTTACCATCTGAGCAGTGTCACTCAGGCAGATGTCATCCAGGGAGTTACATCCTCCTGGCCTCATGGGGCCCTGATGGGGAGAAGGCAGTAACACTGGTTCTGACTGCCTGGGTTTCTCACCTCAAACAACACAGGGGCCACTGGGCAGGGGCTCTCACTCACAGTGGCCCGAATTCTAGTCAGGAGGCATTGTATCTGAGTGAGATTACTCAGTGGCTGAGGCCTCCCGTCCGAAGCAAGAATGACGTCCAGGTTTGAACTTGCATACTGCTCCTGAGGCTCAACACACATTATGCTCCTGTGGTATGTTTAATGCCTCCTTTCATCTCTTCCTGCTCAAAGGGCACTCTGTGGAACAGCAGCACTGCCATAACCCATGAGCCTATTACAAATGCAGAATCTAGGGTCTCACTAGATACCTTGCAGACCCAGAATGTGCATTTTATCAAAATCCCTAAGTGGTGCATATGCACAAATACATTAAGGTGCCTGTTTCAGTCAGCTTATGAAGGACACAATTATACCATATTGAACATTTTTTTGTGTGTGGTGCTTAAGTCTTCTTTTGTTCAATGAAACATTTCAAATACTACTTTCAGGAGACCGGGGATTAAGCTCAGTGGTTCCGCTGCCTGCCTCGCAAGCACAAGGTCCCGAGATCAATCCCTGGTACCAAAAACAATAGTAATAATAATAATAATACTTTCAGCTGGGTGTGTTGGCACACACCCCCATAATCCTAGCACACTCTGGGAGGCGAAGGCAGAAGGACCACAAGTTCAAGCCCAGCAGCTTAATGACTTAGCCAGACCTTGTCTCAAAATTTAAAAAAATAAAAAGAAGGGCTGGGATGTAGTGCTGTAATGAATGAATGTATGAATGATAAATAAATTCATGCTATTCCATTGAAATTTCCTGTATCTGCCCCACCTACTACGGCAGCCACTAGCCACATGTAGCTATGGATTACTGAAGGAGACCCATTTTTGTCCATTACACCATGCATCAATCACTGAAACAATGTGTTTTACAAAAAAGGAAAGTTTGGGGCTGGGGATTTAGCTCAGTGCTTCCGCCACCTGCTTCACAAGTGTAAGGTCCCCCAAGTTCAATCCCCAGTACCCCCCCCAGCAAAAAAAAAAGAAAGTTTCTTCACAAGTTTCTTCATTTGAGGAGATGGGAGAATAATTCTTAGATCTGCCTCCTCATGGACAGGGTTTGGAATATTTACAGGCCGAAGCTGGGAAAAGGTGATTGGAGTTTAGGAAAGTAACTGGTGGTCTTCACATGAGTAATTAAGCTTTATCATAGCTCCCACACCAGAAGTGTGCTCTACACCTCTAAAATGGGTGAATTTTTTTTCTTTGTTTTTTTTTCTTCTCTTCAGACAGGGTCTCACTATGTATTTGAGACTGCTCTGGAACTCACCACATAGCCCAGGCTGGTCTTGAACTCCTGCCTCAGCCTCCCGAGTGCTGGGATTACAGGTTTGCACCACCGCACCTGGCTTAAAATGAGTGATTTTAAAGTCAACTAAAAGCCAGATGTTGTGGTACATTCCTGTAATCCCAGCACTGGGCAGGTGAAGACATGAAGATTGCTGTGAGTTCAAGGCCATCCTGGACTACTAGCAAGATCCTGTCTCAAAATAAACAATAAAGCCAATCCAAAGCAAATAAGTAAGAGCAGGTGAAGCAGGTTAGGTCTATCTAGGTTTTCCCTCCATTTTAGCTCCTGATGTGTGGCTAGTCTGATAGAACTGAATTTTAAATTTTATTTCATTTTAATTAATAAAGTTTTAATTAAATAGCCACATGTGGGTAGTAGCTACTATTCAGGGCAGCATAAACTTAAATTTTATTTTGTGTTTTACTGGCCCATAAACCTAGAAAATTGTCATCTGTTTGGCAATTCTTTGTCTCTGAGGGAATTTGCACAGCCCCTGACCTTGTTACGATTTCACAGATGCAACAGAAGCTGGTGCCTCTGAGCCCCACAGGGACCCCAGTGGGAGAGGAGGGTGGTCACCAAGTAATCTTGGCCTTCCTGGAGAGATGGGGAGCTATCCTAGAGCACCCTCCTTGGGCAAGTAGGGTGCAGCTGGCATGCCTGATGTCAACACCATAGGGAAGGGCTGGACTCTGGGAGAGGGGGCCTCAGGAAGCCCAACTTCTTTATGATCCTTATTAGAGGCTGGTGGGGTTTTCTGGGTGGGCTAAGGGGAGGGAGGGAGCTTTGGGTCAAAATCATCCTTCTCAGCCAGGGATTTAGCTTAGTGGTGCTGCTGCCTGCCTCGTAAGTACAAGGTCCTGAGTTTGATCCCCAATACAAAAAAAAAAAAAAGATCACCCTTGTTTCTCTCACTCTTCCAGCATGCTAACCAAAGTGATCACAACTTTCTGGAATGAATTTCTGCTTCCCTATAATTAGTAAAGGGATCTCACAAATACTTTTTCATTAGTGAAATGAGTCAAGTTCAACATATGTGCTCGGCCAGAGACATTTATATAGGTACCTCTACCATCATTAAAATGAGGCATAAGACATTGGCAAGCCCAGCCATGCCAGGGCATTTCAGCCTAGAACTCCTGCAAGACCTGCAACTCATACCTCCCAGCAACACACACACACACACACACACACACAC